GCTCGCTCGAGGTGCGTGCTTCTAACAAAATTGCGTGCTCGCTCGCCTGCACAGCACGCCTCATGCAAAGAAGCAGCCGGCGCAGACAAACGAGCGAGCACTCAAACATGTTAGAAGCACCCACCCCGAGCGAGCATGGTTAGTGCAAGCCTTGAGTAGGGTTTGGGGTTTCCCACCGGAAACGGGACCCCAAAACCCTGAACCCTAGACCCTAAACCCATCCTTCGAAGAACCTCCGGAAGCCCTTTCCCAGGAAAGCACTCGTGCCAGCACCGCTGAAGAGTCGCTCAGCCGCACCGCCGAGGGGCTGGCGGCACAGCAGGCCAAGCAGGCCGGATCAGGGCTTCGGGTTTCGGGTTTAGGGTTAAGGGTTTAGGGTTCAGGGTTTAGGGTTTAGGGGTTTAGGGGTTTAGGGTATTTAGGGTTTCTTGGTTTAGGGTTTAGGGTTTGAGGGGTTTAGGATTCTAGGGTTTAGGGCTTTAGGGCTTGAGCGAGGCTTCAAAATTAAAGTGGCAGGGGCTTTAGAGCAGATGGGTTGAGGGGCTTGTCGGGTTTAAGCGTTTCGGGCTTTATGGTTGTTAGGGCTTTTGGGTTCAGAGTGTTGGGGCTCAATTCTTTGGGGGGTGGGAGCCGTTGATTAAGGAGTTGAGGGCTGAACTTAAGAAAAGAACTGAGGCCTGGGAGCCCCAACCAGCAGAAAACCAATGCACTGCCGTAGACTTCGGGTGGACTGTATTCCAAAACCCAAAAAGCCTACACCCAAACCGACTATTCCCTAAACCCCAGCATAGTCTGAACTTGAGCTCTCGAAAACCGATGCCTTGACAAGGAAGAGGCAAGCAATGCCTAGCCGCTAGCCGGTTGGGCTTGGCGTTTAGAGGTTTAGGGTGGAGGGTTTGAGTTGTAGGGGTTCAGGGTTTGGGGCTTTAAAGTTTAGGGCTTTAGCGTGCAGGGTTTCAGGGATGTCGTCAGCTGCATGCAAGAAGAAGACTGAGCTTGCAACGAGCTGGCTATCGGGATTGTTGCTTTGTCTTAGTGGCCTCAGCCTGTCGCCTCAGACGTTTACCGTCAAGTTCAGCTTATCTGTCAACATGGCCATGGCTTCGGCACACTGAGCAAGCCTGCTGGCAGCCAACATGCGAAGAGGAACGCCGGCTCTGTCACTTCTTATTTGCCTGTGGCAGTTCTGGACTTTCAGCTGGAAGGTATCATGCTTTGCTAAGGGCCTACTAGGGCTTCACCGAAATCTCCACAGCAAGGTGGAGAAGGCGATGGTGTCCTGCGGACTGGATAAGGGGCCACGGCCGCTGGTGCTTTGTGTCAGTGGGGGATCCGACTCTGTTGCGCTGCTACGACTGGTATCCCAGGTGGCACAGAAGTACGGCTGGTGCCTGCATGTGCTTCATTTCAACCATGGTTTGAGGCAGGAGTCTGCATCGGAAGAGGACTTTGTGGAGGGTCTTGCCCTGTCTGCCGATGCCACTTAGCGGTCGAGTTCGCAGAGCTTTGAAGCTTTCGGCTCCTATTTTATTCTTTTGAGCACGAAACTTGAGTTTTACCGACAAGCACAACTCTGTCGAAGAAATTGGCTTCGTTTGTGATTGCTCGGGTTTATTTGGGGTTATTGCTCATTTTGGTGCTTCAGGGTTTAGCTTTGAGTTGATATCCGTGTCCCCACAGCCCAATATAGGGGCCTAAATAATTACCTATACTAGTTTGGGGGTTCCTTATTCTATTCATCGCATTATAACGGGCCCCAAAACCCTGTTCCAATCATTAAGGCCCCTACGTTAGGTTATATCGCTACTTGAACAGCTAAGGCAGAGTTCCACCTTCGAAGGGCGGACGGCGCCTGCGCTCTTGTTCGGGAAAATCATAGTGAAGGGCTTTGGAGTTTAAACAAGGGCGCTACAGTACCATCGCAGATAATGTGGTTTGATTGTTGTGGCATCTGGAATTAAGCTCTTTTCTATGGTAACTGACATTGGATTCCTTAGGATGGTAACGTAAGTCACATTCTTTGCAAAGGTAACTTAAAACCCTGAACCCTAAACCTTAACCCCCAAACCCTAAACCCTAAACCCTAAACCCTAAACCCTAAACCTTAAACCTTGAACACTAAACCCTAACTCCTAAACCTTAAACCCTAAGCCCGAAACCTTAAACCATATTATTATGGTAACTTAAAGGAGAGAGCCCAGGAGCAGGGCTGAAATCCGGAGCTGGCGGTTTGCAGGCAGCCGCAAGGGCATGGCGTCGCCAGGAGGTGGCGACGGGGGCTCAGAGCCGAAACTGTTAGTTCAAGCTGGCTTTGGGGTTTAGGGTTTAGGGGTTTGGGTTTAGGGGTTTAGGGGTTTAGGGGTTTAGGGTTTTGGGTGGCTTAAGGGTTCAAAGATAAAGTGCTTTCAGGGCCTTGGCTACCGGGTTGGGATTTAGAGTTGGGGGTTTAGTTTCTACGGTTTGTACGGACTAGGGTTTAGGGTTTCGGAGGAGATCGGGCCTACAGGCTTTCAATGGCTTTTATATGCATGCTTTGTAGAGTTATAGGTCAAATGAGCCCGGCGTCGCTAAATAGTTTTCGCTCCTGAAGCCACAAACCCTATGGCCGAAACCCTAAAGCTCTAAAGCCCTACCCCCTGCAACCTTCTTCGAATCCTAGGCCCTGAAACTCTTGATCCTACGCCCTGAAACGCGAACACTCAAAACTCTATCTTCATCCCTTGTAGATTTCTTACATATATATATATATATGTAAGCTTAAGGGAACCCTGAATTAAAGCCTTGAAGCAACCCATAAAGGAACTCTACAGCAAGGCCCTAAGCAGGCTTTGCAGCTCCTGGAAAGCTTGGAAGGCTCAGCTGCATCAGGCTCAGGTGCGGTGCTTCTTGCACACCACGCCGACGACCAGGTGGGTGTTCTAGGTTTAGGAGGTTTAGGGTTTAGGGTTTAGGGTTCAGAGTTGAATTTAGAACAGTTCGTCTGGGGATTCATAAGGGCTGTATAAGAGGTTAAGGGTTTGGCTTTTAGGGTGTAGGGCTTTGGTTTTCAGCTGCTTGAGAACACCAAGTAGACTCTAGCAGCCCCGGAGGTGGAGACGCAGTTGCTCAAACTCCTCCGTGGTGGGCACCTGGCCCGGCTGAGTGGCATGAACTTGATGGAAGGACGCTTCGCACGTCCCCTTCTGGGCATTCGGAAGCAAGAGCTGCAAGCTTTCTTGAAGTCTGTGGCACACTCAGTTTGCTTTTTTGAATGTCAAAGAAGGGATGCATATGGAAGCACAATGAAGCACGCATGATCATTATGCCACCAATATAGGTTATGGGGGTACCTTTGTTGCCCCGAAGCGTAGAAAGCAATCAGGTGGGGCAGGAATGGAAGGAGGACGCATCCAACCAGGAACCGGTTTATCAGCGGAACCGCATTCGTCTGCAGCTGGTACCTCTGCTGACTGAGTTAATCGGTGGGGAGGATGCGCTGCATAGCCGTTTTGAAGCGCTGGCGGAGCAGAGTGAGCAGCTGTCGTCCATGTTGGAGGATGCCTGCAAGGAGGTGGGGAGATCTAAGACGTTTCCTCACACGAGGGTTCCTTCTACAAGTCTGCTTACATGGATCCTAAACAGTTGCCATTTCGAACACGCTCGAGTACGTGAATAAACAAGCAAATGCATACATAATCAAGCAAAGCAATATGTCAATATGTGAATGCATACAGGAACTTCATAGATGGAGCCATGAAGTACATGCATGCATACGTACATACATGCATACATGCAGACATACCCTTCCTTCATATATATATATATATATATCTCTCTCTCTCTCTCTCTCTCGCTCGCTCTCTCCTGTTCGTACATATGCATACACACACACACTGTGTATGTTAATGCATATATTTAACATATATACATATATATATATACACACATACACAGACATGCATGCATGCTACATACATACATGCATACGTACGTACGTACGTACGTACGTACGTACGTACGTACGTACGTACATACATACATACATACATACATGCATACACACATACATACACACAAGCAGAAGCAGGGCCCCTGAATTGGAGATCTTCCCAGGTGGGGGGGGCTTCCTTCCCGGAGAGCTTTGGCGAACACGAAGCGGGAGCTCCGGAAGCTCAGGAAATGCAGCGAGTTCTGGACATTTCGAGCTTCTTGGGTCTTAAGGTTCGGGCCTTAGGGGGTTTAGGGCCGGCTTAGGTTTTTTTTTTTTATAGGGTTTTAAGGTTTAGGGTTTAGGGTTCTTATTTTCCTTTCGACTTTAGAAGGGTCTTAAGGGCCTTAACAGGGTGCTTGTTTTTGGGGCTTGTCAGGGAACTTATCTTTTGGGGCCTGGGGCGTATGTTTAATATAGGGTCTTGAGTAAAGTGTAGGATCTTTGCGTGACTTAGCTTTGAGGTGCTATAGACTCCATGAAGGCTTTGTAGAGCTTTGTCAAGAATTCGGTACGACTGTCTGTTGCTAAGGCACTTAGTTTTTCAGTCATCGTTCATAATCTCTTTGTTAACCCTTATAAAACAGTGAGTAAGCAACAAAAAGAGCCTTCTAGCAGCCCATGTCAGAAGACCCTTGTAGACCCCGCATTCTGCGAACCCGTATTAACACAAAAGCCCTGCACAGAGGCCATACAACAAAGACACACTTGCTTTTGAAACCTGAAAACCTTGTAATAGCTGGCAGTTCTTTAGAGAAGAATACTTAAATAGCCGTGAACCCTAAACCCTAAGCCCTAAACCGTAAACCTTAATCCCTAAACCTTAATCCCTAACCCTAAAACCTAAACCCGAGGCCTTAAGCCCTAAACCCTAAACCCTAAACCCTGTAAGCCCTAAACCCAAGCCCCTAAGCCCTGAACCCAGGCTTCGGGGAGCTGCCTGAGATGGTACGCCAGGAACTCCTGTGGCGTTTCGTGGCGACGGGCTGCGGGAGCCCTAGTGCTGATCGCTTTCGAAGGGTTTAGGGTTTAGGGTTTGGGGGGGATCTAGAGCACTGAGGGGGATGTAGGGTTTAGGGTTTAGGTTTAGGGGGATCTAGAGTTTAGGGTTTGGGGTTTTCAAGCGCTTAGGTTTTTTAAGTTTTAGGGGTTAGAGTTTAGGTAGATGCAACCGGTGCCAGAAGGGTTTTGGTAGGGTTTAGGATTATACAAGCCCTCATAGGACACTTTATGGGACTATAACTCCAATCATAATATTTCTTTTCTTGTTACATTGGGTACCTTGTCTTTAAACCCGTTGTACAAGAGCAGATCTGAGGCGGCAGCATGCTGAGCTACCCAGCCGTACGGGCCATAGCTGGTGGCCTTGCTTCCAAGACCTCCTCGGAGCCCTTTACGTGGCCCTTGGGGTCAGGTTGGCAGCTTCGGAAGCTGAGGGCAAAACAGGAACTTGTTCTAAGCCACAAGGAGGAGAGCGAGGAGAAAACCTGGATCGTCGAGGACCTTCGAGTTCTTCACAACTTCACCCCCGGCCTTTCACTTCGCGTCTCGCGTGGCGGGACCCTCGAAAACTACAGGGAGGCGGCCGAAAGTTCCTGCCGCTTCCTGCTCGACTTGCCGCTGAACGCCACGGTGGTGCTCCGAGGGGCCCAGCCCGGCGACCGCTTCTGCCCCGGCCTGAGCAGCCGGGCACGCGCCATCAAGCTTACCTACTTCCTGCACCGGGAGATGAAGGTCCCCAAAGAGGCGAGACATGGATGGACGGTGATACCTAAACCCTAAACCCTAAACCCTAAATCCTAAACCCTAAACCCAAAGAGGCGAGATATGGATGGCCGGTGATCGCAGTCCAAGATCCGAAGCTGCCGGAAGTGGTTGCAGCTGTTCTGCCCTCCTTTGCCGCCGCCGACTTCTCCGCGACGAACTCCAGTCGCTCGCCTGTCCTTGTGGAGGTGGCCTGGTCTGAACCTTGGCCGGGACTGGCGACGGAAAAGTCTCAGCCAAAGCTGTCTGTCCGCGACTGTAAGCCTAGCACCCTAGGCCATTGAGCCTGATAAGCTCTGCATCGTGCCTGTGGCTCTGTGTCAGGGTGGGGAGCAATTGGCTTTCGCCGAGAAGTTGAAGGAGAGAGCTGTGCTTGCTCTGGTCTATGGACTTATAGAATTCGATGTACGGAGCTTGGGGTTTATAATGTTCAGGAATCCTCAACCCTAAACCCTAAACCCTAAACCTTAAACCCTAGACCCTAAACCCAAACCCAGGGTTCGGGATTGGGGTGTGCCTGTATGAGTTTGGAGCAAGCGGAGTGTCGGGGCTGCCGTGTTCCTCGGGATCGGGGAGGCACAGGGGGGTTGATCTGAACTGCGGTACAGCTCAAGGTCTGAATTTCCTATTCAGATAAGTGAATCAATGTAAACTCGTTTTTTTTAATGGCGCATCTTGCGGTTTCCCAGGAATGATTTCCACAAGTCCTGTGTGCATGCAGCGCAATGATTTTAAATTAAACCCACTCCCCCACCTGTCGAAGGCTGGCGAGGGCCACAACCATGGAAAAGCTGCAATACAGAAGCCCTCAAAACTCAGGATAGCTCGATAGCTCAGGCCTCTTATTCGAATTATGCTTTACTATACCGACTACATCCCAAAACGGTATTCTAAAAATTAGGGCCTGTATAGTATCCCGGGGATCCCTTCAATTGCAGCTGGAGAACCGGGAGTATGCTCTACTAAAGAAACCTACACGCGAAACCTTCAGCCTCTCAATTCTAATTTCCCCCTCTAAACCCTAAACTAAACATGAATGCCAAAGTTTAAACAGCCTCATGATGCGAGTAGAGGATACATCGATCTCGAAGCTCTAAGCCCATGAGGCCGTAAGCTTGTGCACGTTTGGGGGTTAGGGGTTTGAGTTTAGACGGATACGGTGCGGTTAGGGGTTGGGGTTCGTTGTAAACACCTAAGACCTGAGATGAAGCACTAGCAGCGACTAGCATCGTTACCGAATGCAAACTAGGGCACACCACAACGCTTGAAGTTCTTTCGACTGAAGCGGTTACTGGCAAACTTGCCAATGGATCCTCGCGACCCGTTACCTCGTTATGCTTACACATAATCAGCCGATACCCTAAGTCCCCTAGACAAGCGCAGCCCTGTTCAACCTGATGGTGCCCACAAAATTATGAGGTCAGCAGTCTTACAGAGAGCTCAACAGCACGAGCACACTATATAGCCGGCCCTGACACCCTTACAAAGACTAAAGCCCTATAAGAATCGGAAGCCCTCGATTCGAACGCCCTAAAGCAACGTAAGCGAGAATGCGAGGACCTGACCCAGCAGATGGCAGACAAGTTCCATGCACAACAGGAGGCAGCCGAGGCTGGTTCCTGTTTCACGTGTTTTTTTCTGGGGGGTTTAGGGTGTAGGGTTTAGGGTTTCGGGTTTAGGGATTAGGGCGTGCGCAAACGGGTGTGTTTGCATGTCGTGTAAGTGTAGCGATGTATCCTGTTGTGTTTTTTTTTTTTTTTGTTGTTGTTGTGGCTTTAGGGGTCTATAGGGCTCAGGGTTTGGAGTTTGAGGGCAGGTAAAGAGTTTAGAGATCGTTTTAGAAGCTGAGTCTCGGGTGTTCGGCTAGGGCTCTGGAGTGATTCATTTAGGGTCTAGGGTTTAGGGGTTTAGGGTTTAGGGTCTAGGGCTTTATTCAAGGGTCCAAGGTGGATGGGGTTGCTTTCTTCCCTAAACCCTAAACCCTAAACCCTAAACCCTAAGTTTCTTGAGTCTGAGCGCAGACATGCAGAAACCCGGAACGTAGGATTCGAGTTTCGCGTTCAGGGCACATGGTCCTCAGTCTTTAGGTCAGCCTTTAAGGGTTTCGGGTTTAGGGTTTAGGGTTTAGGGTTTAGGGTTTAGGGTTTAGGGTACAGAAGATCCAAGTCGTGAAGGAAGCTAAAGGCCCAAGGGCTTTAGAAGTTAGGACCTCCCTATAGTCTCCATTGTAGTTCCTTTTTTGGTTTAACCCTTTTTGTATTAAGGATTTTATAAGGTATCCCCCAAAAAGAACTACAATGGAGACTATAGGTCGGGTCTAAACCCTAAACCCAAAAAAACCCTTAACCGCACCAAGCTGCAGCTGCTCCCAGGCGCAGCAGGCCAAGCTAGAAGCCCAGCTTGAGAAAGATCAGAAGACAGCACAGGCCGTTGAGGGATTTCAGAGATTAGGGTTTAAGGATGTAGGGTTGAAAGGGTCCAGGGTTTGGCGTCAGACCGGCTTAGGGTTCAAAGATTTAGGATTCAGGTTTAGGGTATCGTTTCCCATAGAACCTCGTCGAACCAAGACCTTCCTTACGCTGACTTGGGTAACACACGGGATTTTAAACGAGTGCCCGTATGTTTCATGCAAGACGCCTTCGAAACTTGAAGGAAGCATTTTTCAGGGGAGGCATGTCCTTTAAACTCTTCCTGCGTATTCGGGGCTTGGGTATGCTGCCTTTGCTCCTCCATCCCAGCTGCTTATGTTCTTCGGGTTTAGGGTTCAGTCTTGATGGTGTTTTCGTGCTTCGTGATTCTAGGGTTTCAGGGCGTTTTGGGCTTCAGGTGTTCGGCTTCACAGGGTTCTCTAAACTATTTAGTGAACCGGCACTGGGCTTTCAGTAGCTTTACGGTCTAAGGTTTCGGAAAGGAAGCACTAGATATATCCCATGCGACTGCCGCTATTACATGCCCAATGAGGTAGGGATATCCCTGTAAAGTGATTATGCTTGTGTCCTCTTGGGCCCCCCCTCACCTTCACGAGAAAGGAGCTACATGTGAGACAGTAGGTATATCACCCCTAAACCCTAAACCCTAAACCCTAAACCCTAAACCGTAGGTATATCTCCTGCTGCACAAAAACAGCTCAGCTCAGCCCTGGTCGTGCCGACGTACTTCCAGAGTTCCAAACACCGTGACTCACACAATTGCCCTTCAAAGCCAAAGCTCTGGGGGTGGGGATCGGGGGGCCACCTAACCCTAAACCCTAAAGCCTAAACCCTAAACCCTAAACCCCTAACCATGAAGTTGAAGTTGCCGGAGCAGGAAAGGAACCACAGTGGAGACCGAAGGTAGGGTTCTGCTTCACAGCTGGGATAGCAACAAGGGTTTAGGGTTTAGGGTTTAGGGGTTTAGGGGTTTAGGGGTTTAGGGGAGGGTCTAGGATTTAGGGTTTAGGGTTTAGGGTCTCGCCGTGTCGGCTTCCCGGCGCGCCCCAAAGAGGCAGAATCGACTGAATCGATACAGAACCATGTGGACAAGTTGGAATCTGATCCCTAAAACCTCCCATAGTCAAAATAAGCCCTAAAGCCCCGAAAAGCAACTCCTGAGTTTCTTGCGGTGTCGTTTGGATCTGGGTTGACATGGTCCTGGTTGCCCAGGGTAAACTTTAAGCCTGTAAATCTATTGGCCACAGGCCCCGAGTACTTACGTTTCAAGGCATTGGGTTTCGAGTTTGGAGCCTTTCTTGCCTTTCTCGTGGTTCTAGGCTTTCTAGGGTTTCTAGGGCTTAGAGTTTAGAAGCTTAGAGTGTCTCGCCCTTCTTCTCTGACCTCCCAAGACTCTTAAAGAGTCTGTGCCGAGCAGGACAGCCAAGAGAAGCTGAAAGAGGCGATCGAGGAAGCCAAAAAAGCCGCAGAGGCTGCGGCTCATGTGGTTCCTTTGGAGCTTGTAGGGAACCCCAAACTCTCAACGCAAAACCCTAAACGTTCATGTTGAGTAACATTGGCCTTGACGATCCTGAAGGGGGCGCGTGTATGGCGTTTGGATGATTGGTCTGCTTCAGAGACGGCAAGCCTCAGACAGGTTCTAAAGCCTTGGCAGCACATGGTGTTAGTCGTGATAGTAACCTCAACCCCCCACCACCCCGAAACCCTTTGGGACTTCGCGATTAGGCCTTTGCAGAGTTGATGAGGGTTTAGGGTTTATTGTTTCGTTAAGTGCCCGTTTCGGGTGCTTTTCGATGGTTGTATCTGGGCACAGGGGCTCGCTGGGACTTTGAGTCAATCCCTAGTTGAAGAAGACCTAAACCCTGAGTCCTAAACCTAAACCCTCCATGTAGCCCCCATAGTGCCCTTGAAGGTACATGCTGAGTAGCCTTTCTCTTCTAGAAAAAACCCTTGAAGTTATCCTGAAGCCCCAACCCCCCTCCTGAAGCCCCAACCCCCCCCCGCCCCCCCAACAAACCTTAAACCTCAGGCCCAAAGCCTCTAAAATCCGAAGTTCCCCGATCCTGGGTCTGTATACAAAGGATGAGGTGCGGATTTAGGAGATGAAGATTTCGAAGTGCCCTCAACACCCTCTACGAAGCCCTCATGGCTTGAGGGCTTGCGGGTTTCGAATTCATAGGATTTAGGAGTGTGTGGTTTTGGGTCCATGGTGTTGGGGTTTTCATCGCACGATCGCACAGCCCGAAGTCCGAATTCTTGCAGTGCACAGCAAAACCTGAAAGGGTCAACCCCCAGCCCTTCATGCGCAAGGCACAGGTGAAGGAGGAGCAGGGGCGCGCGACGGAAGCCGAGACTGCCTTGCGCGAAGGCGCTGTGGCGGAGCGCACGGGAGGAACTTGGGGTTTGGGGTTGAGACAGCCTGGACCCCTAGGCCCCGAAGCCCGAATCGTATACATACTGTAGCGTGCATGCAGCATGACGAAGTTTATGTCAGAAAGAGTTTAGGGTCTGCGGCCTTTGGGGTTTTTCTGCGCAGAGCGAAAGAAACGTCGGTTCGCCCAGCAACTTCATCAGACGATTTGTAGAGTACTTACTCGAGGCTTAGAGGCCTTATCGGGTTTGAGTATTCGGCTTCATGGCCGAGACAAGAATCTGTTTGGGCCAGATTGGGTTCAGAGTGCAGGGTTCAGCATCCAACTTGTTTGGAGCAATTCGTACCAGGCGCTGCCCATCCCCCCGAAATGCGTTCTGTTGTTTTTATATCAGCTCCAATGATCGTGTTCGGTGTGATAAGCCCGAAGTCTCAAAGCCTAAGCCCCTAAACTCTAAACCCTAAGCCCTGCACTAGACCCTAA